GCTCTCACAATATTCAGATTAACAGCCGTATTCTAACAAAGTCACAAACTTTAGCTCATCACTGCTGTGATTTCTACCGCGCCTCAAAGCTTGCCGCTCAAAAAATATGCCGCTTCAATTCAATTTTTTAAATTTTTGTGTATTTTTCTAGCACTCAAAATCTAATTTTTTGTGACACATTTCTCGGCACACTTGAAATCACAACAGTGATGAGCTAAGTTTTGTGTCTCTGTTAGAATAGAGGGGTAAGTCTGATAAAAAATATTTCTTAGTTTTAATACAAACGTGAATCCTACATTATACCTAGTACTGGACGCACAGACATTAATCGTTTTAATGAGAATTTACCTTTCAAGCATCTGCTTGCTTGCTGGACACTTCCAGGAACTTGGCCTGCATCTCCTTCTCCTCATCTTCTCGCTTCCTTTTTAGACTCCTACGCGGAGTCCTTTTAGCAGGAATACGGGGTGTCGCACACATCACCTCGCCATCGTCAGCTGCTGTGGTAGTCGGTAGTACGGAGGTAACACTATCGTCTCCATCCTCCAAATGCAATTGCAAATTCGATTGAGGAATATAAAAAGCTTTAGAAATGAGGAATCAAAATATCACCTGACTCCATATTACCTCTTCCACAGGCACATTTTCGACAACTCTTCCATTGCCCTCAATGTACTCGCTGCCGATGAGCGCCATAACTCGCCTCTCAACCTCTGTTATGGGCTCTTGATTAACCGGCCGGTTGCCGGTTAACGCTTGCTGCCTCTTCCTGTCCCGTACCCTGACACTTGTACGGCTTTTCAGATCGCGCCACACCTGTTTAAAAAAAAATTTTGTAGCGCAGATTCTGGAAAATGTTTAGTTATTTGCGAACTGTTTTTAGAATAAAGTGTATACCCTTCAGTATAAGCGTGTGTAACAATTGTTTGGGTCGGGTCACCTGTTCAGGCACCCAAGCCCGAAATCATTGGGCAAATTACTAAACAGTTCCACAGCTCCTCGTCAAATAATTCCAAAACATATACTTACTGTTTGCCATTGTTCGACAGTCTTCACAGCTCCGCCGATGGTATTTAGACTTGCCTCCAGCTCACTCCACTTCCTGTCGCTCTCAGACTTACCGTGCATCTTTTGGAATTTGCCTGCTGCTAGTCCCGGGCACTCCGACAAGTAGTCCAGCAGCCTTTCAATTTGCTCGCCTGAAGCGCGGCTCCTCTTTGCTGCACATTGGCTTGTTGAACTCATTCTAAATCGATAGTAATAGTTTATGCATAAATCATAGTTTAAAATGTGTATATTCTCTTTTATAATACTTACATCTTTCAAAAACCTTAAATTTTGTCGGACAGACAATTTAAATTGGCGGGCGGCGAAGTCAAATGTAATTGTTTTTTTCGTATTCCTCTTTGTGCTCGTCGTATAATTTGATATTTCATTTCACAGAGGTGCCACGTACTATCAATTTAATTAAAAAGTGAAAGTCAGCTGTTTAGTGTCATTAAGGATAAGTTAGGGAATCGCAAAATCGTTACTGCAAACATCAAAAATCGTAAAGTAATAATCCGACAATCGCATCGCTTAAAGATAGTGAATCGCACTACTGATCCTGTTATATCCAGTATGAGACGACCCACATTCCATTTTCGAAGAAGTTATCAGTCTTTCGCGTGAACCAAGTCAAAACGCATCAGTTTTTGTTGAAAGTGGCAGAGATGAGCGAAAAAATATTTCGTCATTTAAATTTTAATTTGTTGTCTGTAATATTAGTTAATACAGGGTGTTTGGTAGACGTTTGTAAATACGTGAACTGGTAATAGTTGGGGCCATCTGCTATGTGTTCCGCCTAGAAATTTCAACTAGGCCCCCAAGGTTTTATATATATTTTTTTTAATTTCTCATTTACAAAAATTCAAACCTGATTAACTTTATTTAAAAATGAGAAAACCTTAGTTTTAGAAATCACCAATTTGGTATAAAAAAAAAATCTTTAAAAATTGTTTGGGCTGAACATATAACAGGCGGCCCAATTATTCCCCATTTACAAATATAATTATTTTTATTAATTCATAGTTTGATCATAAATTCATTTTAAATATGTACGATCAAATACAATAAATCAGTAATTTTGCTTAACAAATATATTGTGTTACTCAACTAAAAATTACAGTTGATTTGACAGAATTCAACTGAAAAATTTTAATGTAATATAGATCTCGAGATCAGTGAGCCTTAAACCCTAGTACGTTTACTTCTTGGGAAACTCTCCTTATTTTTAGAGAAATTGACAGCCCATTCGACAGCTATTAACTCTTAAAGCTTTAATTTGACGTAAAATTCGTGATCAGCATGTTTAAAAACCGTATCAGTAACGTTTTTAAAAAGAGTCTCTAGATTCTCTGATTTTAATAAAAATCGGCAGTCCGTTTGACAGCTGTCGACTCTCAAACTTTTAATTTGATATAAAATTCGTGACTAGCATGCCTAAAAACCTCATAAGTGGTATTTTCAAAAATATTTTCTTAGTTTTAGAGAAATTAGCAGTTTATTTGACGGCTGTCAACTGTCAAACCAAAAATTGTATGGCATATTCAGATTTAGCATAACAAAAATACTACGATGATGCATTTTTATTATAATCGTAACAGCCTTCTAGTTTTTCGCGTAAAACATAGCTTCTCCGACCACTGTGCGACGTTAAGATGAAGTCTCTACGATGAGCAGAACCCGAGATATAACGATTTGAAGAAGTATATGATTAGTCATAATCACGAAAAGATTCAAACTTTGAGATTTTTTTATTTTTAGAGAAATTAGCAGTTAATTTGACAGCTGTCAACTGTCAAACCAAAAATTGTATGTCATATTCAGATTAAGCATAACAAAAATACTACGATGATGTATTTTTAATATAATCGTAACAGCCCTTCTAATTTTTCGCGTAAAACATAGCTTCTCCGACCACTGTGCGACGTTAAGATGAAGTCTCTACGATAAGCAGAACCCGAGATATAACGATTTGAAGAAGTATATGATTAGTCATAATCACGAAAAAATTCAAACTTTGACAGATCACATCTCCGAAGAAAAGAAAAAAATCTCCTCGAACACGTGTTAGCTTATTTCATGCATAGAACCCACAAAAAAAATTTTATTTATGCTAAATTGCTAAAAATATTATCTAAATCTAAATTATGTATTCAAATCGATTTGTCCATTGAAACATATAATTTTTCGAATACGGGATAAAGCGAAAAATAATGATCTTATCCTTTGTTTTCAAAATAATTAAAAATTAAAAGCCAATTATGAGAAATGATAAAAACTTATCAACTTGGTACCAACTTTGGATACAATTAACAACTGTATTCGTCTGATAGTCTCGTAGTTAATTTTTGTTAAGATTTCTACCGGGTGTGGGGCGCACACATGTGCTTTTTTTAAGGAGTTTTACTTCTATCTCTTGTACGGTGTTGCACTCGTGGCAATTTATACATATATGTTTATATGTACGTAGTAGTAGCGGCATATTGGGTGAACTAAATGCATTCATACCTATGTACATATTTACAACTGTAGGTAATGTAGTACGCGTCTTCCCAGGTAGATTAAGTGCGGGTGATAAACCCATGTAGCATAGTTAAATACTGTGTACATACCTGCAATTAAAATGGCGAAAAATGTTACAATTTCGGCATGTGACTGAAAAAAACTCTAAAATACACATATATTGTGGCTTCCAAGACATGTATGAAGTGATTAGCACAGCTACATCCTTCAACTTGTCACCTCGCGGGAAATCCCCCCGATTTGCAGGGAATTTCGGTTTAAGTGGCAATCGGGGAATAGGCAATTTTTTCGGGGAACTGGGTATGTTATATTTATATCTTAAAGTAACCAAATTAGACGCATATGTTAATTTTAAACCATTGGTCGCTATTTGGGGCGACTTTTTTCAATTTGAATCGCCATATCTCCACAACAGGAGTTTTTCCAGATATAAGCTATATACCAAATAAAAGCTTAAGTTTTGGGCTAGACTTGAGGAAACAGAGAATAAAATCGACTGACCAGTTTTTGAGAAAATGCCCGAGATCTATGTTTTCAGCAGCCCGCTTTTAATTTTTCAGGCACAAAAGATAGCGTTAGATAGCTTGTTTGAAGACCCTTCTACTGATGTCCACATCAATGACATGGATTGAGTAGTCCGGCCCCAGTGGTAGTTTATAAAATTGCCTTTTTTCGAATTTCAGGCAGCAGCCACGCCCACAAAGGCATACGAATCAAAACATCCTGGAACAAAACCTTCCTAGTTTTTTTTGTACTTTAATTCCTGAAAGTTTAAAAAAAAATTAAATGAAGGTACGTACAGACGCCACATACATACCAAAGCATCTCGTAGTGGAGACACGAACCAAAACATATTCACCTCTATATCTTTCCAACTAGTGGCCGGAACTTAATATATATCGTTTTAAAGGTATTGGCCTATAGAATAACACTAAAGATGTTGGGTGTGCCCACATGCCCCCTTAAACCGGCAAAAGCAAAAAAACATTTTTTGTTTCGCAACACTTTAGCCGAATTTTTAAGAATCCGGTTAATCGTTTATGAAGCTTGAATACATTTTCTGGACACGCTCTACAATCTTTCCAACGATATCTGAAACATGTCGATTGGATGTCGGGATAAAACCTTCCAAATCTCGTGTATATATAAGCGAGTCATTTCAGCATGCTACTGTGGCTGCTTTCGTCACTCGCGCTGTGATAAGTTAAAATAGTTAATGCTTATGTAGCTTAAATTAAAAATATCTATAAAAATATTAAGTCCAGGAGCTAATGACGTCCACCAATCTGTTAAACGCCTCAACCATCAATTTGTTGGTTTCTGTATTGGCGGCACTACATTCAGCTAGCAGCTAAAAAAACAAAAATGCAAAAGTCAATAATGAAAGAATTTATTTAATCGACATTTAGTCAATAATATTTTTTAATTTATTTGTATTCGTAAAGAACGACTAGTAAAGTCTGGAGGTTAAGTTTACTATGATATAATGCACTCGACTTTTATGCACATATATTATTGGTCACTGAGCGTGAAAGAGGTAATATTGATTCTATAAATGCTCTCACAATATTCAGATTAACAGCCGTATTCTAACAAAGTCACAAACTTTAGCTCATCACTGCTGTGATTTCTACCGCGCCTCAAAGCTTGCCGCTCAAAAAATATGCCGCTTCAATTCAATTTTTTAAATTTTTGTGTATTTTTCTAGCACTCAAAATC